TTATTATTGAACATTACTTTAGTTATACGTCTATACACATTCCGTTAACCTATTAAAATGTTCGTGTGTGAATATTTATCCCCTTGAAGAGACTTAAGGACATTATCACTGACAATGGATATAGAAGTCATTAGAAAAGATTTTATTAATCGTGTATTCGTTTCTCTGTCTACAGCGTGTCCGGGACAAGACCATTTCTCAAATAAATAGTGATAGAAACACAACACAGGGAGTTGTGTTATGACTTTCTTAAGGACATTAGAGATAAATAGTTAAAAGAAAAATACGGCCAAAATTTGAAGTCGGTTGTCTTTCATAAAAATGTGTATCGGACCCCAGGGGATTTCTCGATTTTAATCAACATTCGAACTTCTTCCCTCCAAAAACACAGCCCTTGGTGTCAAGGAAACAAGTCTTCAGGATTTCAGTCTCAACATTCGAGAAAGAATCGTTAATACCTGGCAACTAGAGATTCGTGGTATTCACTTTTAATTTAATCTAAATGATAAGGTTAAAGAATTTCTCAAGCGTTTTTTTTTAAATTATCATAATGTTTCGCAAGCTATTGGAAGTAAGGTTGGCCATTGTTGAGTGTTCTAGAAATATTGTCTTGTGTTAAAAAAAAAACTGACCTAAAACGAATAAGAAGAAAAGCAAAACAAAAACAAAGATTTGTTGTGATTTCATTGCTGGTGTTCACGTTTCAAAAGTTAGGTGGACGGCCGAAATGAAAAATAAGAATTGCTTTTTGTTTTTACATTGGAAGAAATGTGGGAAGAAGATGAAAACGGGAAGTACATCACTTGTAAGAAGGCAGAATGTATGGTCTTCAGTAAGAGGAAGAGCCAGAGATGCGAGCTACGAGTTGGAGATGACAATATCAAGCAAGTACAGAAATGTAACTATCTGTGAAGTGTTTTTTGAACAGACGATAACAGACGACGGATAATTTGACACCAACATCCGAAGGTGAATAGGAAAAAGATCATTCATCTCGCCATTAACTTTAAAACAAAAACGACATTTTTTACATTATTCGGACTATTGTCCCCATTCTTTGTCGCCATATTTATTACAACGTTTCGGCCGTTGTACGCTCCGGCCTTCTTCAGGTGGTTGGAATGTCGAACTGAACCCTTTATTTCGCTCACTGGGGTAGAATGTTCTAGTTCTAAAAGGATACTTATACTGATAATCAGAGAGAAATAGCTGAAAATTCTGGGACGAAAAGGAGTTTTGGAGAATTTGACACTCACAGGACATTGATCGTAAGGACAGAAGGAAAGACCAAGTAACCTGTCTGACCAGCTTGTATGGGTGACAGAACAGGAAGTGGGAAGGATAGTAAAGAGACAAAGATTATGATGAGCTACAAAGTATAGGAAGTTGTGGGGGACCATGATCCTCTCATCCTGAAGAGACAGATAGAAACGGCCAATAACATGCCTAACTAGCTTGTAAAAATCGATTACAGAACAGGGAGTGGAAAGTATAATAAAAATATTGCTCAGAGGATAGGAAAATGTGGAGAGCTATAATCGCCCACGTCTTGAGGAGACACAGCACATAAAAGAACCTTTAATAAAGCTTGTTTGATAAAACAAAAGACATTGTCGTGAATTGTATAAAAAGCTTCTCTGCCAGGTTTCTTTTAAAGATAAAAATGATCTAGCATACGTGCTGATATCTATAAATCTTTCGAGTCAATTAAGGGCTTAATTAAAGAGGCTTATATTTATTTTTAACTGGTCAATCAGAAAAAGCGTTCAATTAGAATGGAGCAAAAACAGCATCCTGTTTAGATCTAACAGAGTCTATCTTCAATTACTTTTAAGTACTTTCATTAAAAAACATTTTGAATTAATGCAGTTACTGATATAACTGAAGTAGTCTGTATTTATTCAATCGAAGTTAGCCGAGGACATGAAGGGGTAAAACAGGCAACATGAAGATCCACTTCAGACCACAAATATTTTGGAGCTTTTGAAATTCAATTTGCCATTGTGCTACCAGGGATGTAAAAGAAGATACATTTATAAAGCAATTTTTAAGTTTGATGAAAATTGGTTGAAACATCAACGAAAAATACGAAAGAAACCAGTAAAAATTGTAATTTTTCGCTATTTACGCGGGTTTTTACTATATGGATGGACTCACTATCTGTCTATATTTCTGAGACAAAGATGAGGACAATAGTCCAAATAATGTACATAATACCTCATCTCAGAAATATAGACAGATACTGAAGGATCGGTACGGACCCGATATACTGCGACAATGATGAGGACAATACTCTGAATAATGTAAATAATGGGTAGACTCAATTATCAAGTTAAATAACTGTTAAACAATAAACTTATTGTTGGCTACAATTGAGTGAAATTTGTATTAGATTGCTTGAAAATTGAGGGAGTTTTATTTTAAAATTTGTGTTGAAATCGATTTTTCCTTTTTCGTGGTTTTTCATTAAACACAATGGCGAAGAAATAAAAATGGGATATCGTTGAGCTCGTTACGATGTAAGTAATCTACATACGGAGTTTGAACGAAATCGGAGGAAATATGTTGAATTTATCGATTTTTGATCGGCTTTATCGATTATTGGTTTTTAAAAAATTATCGATTTTTTTACACTAAGAACCTATCTCTTACATTGTACCATGTGTGTTCCAAGTTTGGTCAAAATCGGTTGGATGGATCTCGAGTGAAAAGGTATCACACAGACATCCTATTTTTTATATATATAGATTGAGCCTTTTTTTTTTTTTTTAATGTGGCAGTGTTCTGCCACTTCCGTGTCTTTTAGTCCCTTGGTGTCAGTGTCATTTAACGCATTTCATCGATTCGTTCTCCCCCACACCGCACTGGTTATCAATCTGGCAATTGTCTCCCGATCTTTCAAAGAAAATTGACAAGACCTAAAATTATATTCTCAGATGTTCGCAAGCTTGAGCGATTGACAAACATTAAAAAAAAAAGTTATAATTTTATTGTTGAAATTTAAGGATCGAACAAGCCATAATCTGTTAACCGAGACGAGCACACTAACCTTTGCACTGTCCTGAGAACCTATTTTGGCTGTTAAGTTCAACATGTATATGATTAGTTGCCTACAATTTATCACAAGTAATGACGACCAAACAACAACAACAAAGTGTCAGATGTGAAATAGATTTGCCACGGGCGAAATATACTGCGCAAATCCAGTTGCAAAATAACAAATGTCATTGGCGGGAAATACACACACA